TCACTGCATTGCAATCTTCTAGGCATAAATAGCGGTTACGTAACTCGAGCTGAAAGGTTTCGGGATTCTGGATTAGAGCACGGCGGGGACGGAGCGTTGACTTCATTAGACGAGATCTCTCCAACTTAATGTTTAGGTTCAGTCTGCCTCTAAAAATTCGGTAATTGCTGTCAGTTTTCACCCTTGCGATCACTGAGACATTATTGAACTGTTGGTGCCTGATAGTCATAATGAAGTCAATCTCATTTTTTGTCGAACAATCGGGACTCGACCTGGTTCACTTTCTAAAGGGCCGCTTTTGGAAAAAAGAGTTCATCATAAAGAGTGTCCCTTTCTACATAAATTCGGCCAGCTGCTGGCCCCTTAGGATTCGTTTCCCTATTCCGAATTTCCCTTCTATCAGCTCACCGTTCTCTCTTGTGCTTAATTTTCAGTTGGTGTCTTCCATTAACACCGTATAGTGGGTTTTGCGAAAATGCATGGCTCTAGTGATATTCTTATACGTTTCCTGCATTACCTCATCGGGATATGCCGAGGTTGGTGTTTTAACCTGTATGAGCTTCAACGAATACCGTTTGGTGATTCTGAGTATAAGATACGCAATCCTCGTCGACACATCCAATCTTTACAACGTTGTTAACGAGAAAATTTTAGATGATAAATTCGACACCTCCTTGGGACAAACGGTCGCCCTCCCGGTGATAGAACAAGTTGCCGGATTCGAGAAATACCGTGTCCTCCCGCTCTATTGAGACCTCAGATAATCCTATAACATCCCAGAGCAATTTGTGATCTCTTCTTCTAGCTCCAGGATCTTCTCGTCAGTCCTCAGGGTGCGTGCATTATATGTTGCCAGGTCGAGTCGATGTAGGTGGCAACCGAACTTTCATCTGAGATTCTTAGCACCCCCTGTCGACACCGTAGCTAGAAATAGCGCGGTCGCCGGGGACTGGGGGCCTCTTCTTTGTAACTAACATGGGGGTAATATTGCCATAGTTGTCACGCTTGGCGAGCGGGTTGGTAATTGCAGGTTTTTTTTCTTTTTTTTTGTACGTTTCCTGCTATCACGAAGATACTGCTGCCCATCTTCTGCTTGTTTCTCTCTGTCGTCTTTTACGACACAAATATATTATATTTCATATATAATATAAATTAATATACCTATATATATAATATTTAGTATATTTTAACTTTAATTTATTAATTATTAAAAATAAATAATGATTTATAAATTTATCTTTAATAAAAAGCAAGTGTAACCATCCTACTGAAACACACTCTTAAAATTTCATTAAAATCGAAGCGGCCATTTTCGGGTTTTTGTTAAAGTAAAGGACACAAATTGATTTTTATATATAGATATTACAAAGAACTTCATACTCTCACGTTCTATTCGCACAAACAAAGATGTTTTCAAATTTACAGTTATTAAAAATTTTTAACAAAATATCTAAGAACACACAGCTGAATTAAACTTGAATTTTAAAGTTATGTAATAAATACTTATGGATTATTCATACATTAATACTATTTTCATGGTAATCATCATGATATAATTTCAAAAGTCCACTGCTGAAAAAGGCCTCATTGTCGCTTGGCAGGTGGGTTGGTAACTGTAGTTTTTTCAACTAACTATAGTGGTTATTACGATAATGCGTTATCTTTTGTCGCACTTTTTACAGTAAAATCGCTCCAGTGTAGTTTTTTTTTATAGAAGAAGGGGCAAACGAGCATGCGGCTCATCTGATGTTAAGTGACTACCGTCACCCATGATCAACCGCAACACCAGGGTAACTGCAGGTGCGTTGCCGGCCCTTTAGAAAGGAGTAAGCTCCAAAGATAGTGATGGTGAAGGGATAAAAATATTTTAGATAATTATAACTATCTTTTGAAATATAAGCTAGCAATTGCTTCACCCTCTAAATACAGTAATTCTTCTTTGTAAAATGAAACCTTTTCTTGCCTTCGCACTTGATTAAATGCTATATTTTTTACTTTTGTTTCATATGATGTAGGTTTTCTTCAGAAATAAAATAAATCTTACACCGACTTCTCCATCAACTATTTTGGCAACCAAAGAAAGGTAGAAAACCATTCGCTCCAATGTTATTAAAAGGTAGAAATTTATGAATATGCGGTTAATACGCTAGATAGAAAAGTTGGTGAGTGACTGGGCAATGATATTAAAGGAAGAAGCTAGCTTGCTCATTCTCTTTAATTTTTTAATGTTAAGTAACGCTTAATAAGTCGTAATATGTTCTCTAATTATTCTTTAATGTACAGAACTTTTATAATTTCATCAATAAATTAAATATTTAGGTATTTCTTAAGCTCGACATTAGCCGCCTTTACACGCACGGCGTGAATCGGCTTTTGGGCGGGAAAGAGCGCGCATTTAAATATAGATCAGGAAAACGAGAATGCACGCGCGCGCCGCCCGCTCGCGCATACCCTCATATCAGATCATGCGTTCAACAATGCTGTTCGCTTCAAACACAATTTACATCCACGATTTTATGAAAATTATTGTCATCTTAAAATGGCGGACATAAGATTATGGAGCAAGACTCTTATTACAGAGATATTGGCAATAAAAAAACTATCATGCATGCCATCTTATATTCGATTTTATTTAATAATATTATAAAATAATATATAAATAAAAATCATAAATATATAATCACGAAAGTTCATCGACCAAATTGTCGATATGTTGAAAATGAGTCAAATTAAGAGTAACCTTATCCGACGAGCATGTATGCGTATGTATATGGATATGGAAGAGGTGAAAGAGGTGTGTTAGGCACGATCAAATGGAAAGCTGTAGTCTCTGCTTACCCCTCTGGTTGGCAGGCGTGAGTGTTTATGTATATGTAATCTATTACATGCTTAGACCAGTAAACATAACTGCTTGTGTAGTATTCCTTTTAACCCTTTTGTTTATTTATTTAAAACACTAGTATTCAGCTAAACAAAACTGCGTGATTTTCGTACATTCCAGGATATGGAATTTTCCCGTACTGAATCACGCGCGTTTAGCCACTAAACGACGCTCCTTCCTCTCTTAATAAAACTACAGGAGTAATTGCCAGCGAAAAAGTCAACGCTCAACACACATAACAATGGATAAACTCAATTACACACGATTGCGCGTGCAAGCTTTCCCGCGTTTAATCGCGCACACTTCGATCGCGACTAAAAGCATGTGTCGTGTAAAGGCGGCTATTAATAGAAATAGGTAGCCAATTTATTTTAAACTTTTTAAATATTTAGTTCTGTTTGAGTACTAAATTGCGTCTATTAAAAATTCATAATAAATAACAGGAATCACTGGACTGAAGCACAGAAATTAAACAGCTTGATTAGTAAATTAAATATTTGAAAATAACGTAAATAATTTTAATTTAATCTCAAAACATAAAAACCAAGTAAAATTAATTTGCAATTAATTTTCATTCCTGTTTTTAATAGATATAGATTGAAGTTTGTGAGAATTATTATTTTATACTCCGTACTATATAACATAATATCACACGGTCGATTTCTATTAGATTGCGTAAAATTATAGATTGTGATTGTTTTTGTTAAATATTGGGTATATTTTGACTATTAAAGCATTAAAAGCAATGACGTTTTTACAGCGTACTTAAACTCGAGCACATCGATGTTATATTTTATTTGGGTCTAAAAGAAACCCATCTCAAATTTTAATATCAACCATAAATTCACGCTTATGTTTCTAGCAGCGACGTATTCAGAGTCAAATGACTTTTTCATGTTGTTAACTCGACCATAAAACGCCATCAAAAAGGTTTTCCGTTTTAAAAGGTATTTGCAGTAGTGAATGGAATTGTCACTCTTGATTTTCAAACTGAAATACAGTTTATTTGTTCGATTGTAGTTTTTTTTTAAATAAAATTGAATCTAAAAACTTGCAGTAAATTTGTTGGTAAATGGCTACTGCATTTCGTGGCCACCAGCCAACTTCAAATAAAGATGACTACAGGTGCGTTGTCGCCTCTAACTTCTGATTAAATGCCTCACAGCATGTAATTATACCGGCTTTCTCTACTCACCAGATCGCAGCAAAGGAATGTAAGTACTACTGCTTGGTTACAGATATAGCTAGGAGCGTTGTATCTTACTAAACGGACTGCTAGACAGAAAAGGAGGCTTACCACCAGTAAATTGGGGGTAGATCTGAAAACACACATCATTATTATTATGGTTAAAGATATTTATTCACAAAAGAAATATACATTTCACTTAATGAAAAGTTACAATATTCAAGTTAATAATAGGTGATAAGCATATCTGATAACAAAAAAATACATTAAAAAGGAAGGAATGTGTTTCGTGACGTAGTACAACTTCTTACTAGCTTAAGCATACAACTTAATACTTTTTTTATGTATTTTTGTGTACTTATGAATAGGTTACCTTTTAGAATATAAGTTAATAAAACTGGTAGCAAGCAAAGTATTTCTTTACTTATTGGATTTAGAATTTATTTATTATATGTTGAATTAGTTTACCTTTATAGAAGTTAAAACTCTATGTTTCATTTTTAATTTTGGAGTAGTTTATGAATTTTACCATCATCATAAAGTATACTCTGTTTATCATACTTTGTTTTTACCGTAGGTATATAAATATTATTAGCCTTCCGGAGCATTTTTTCTGCTTACCTTTTTTGTTAATGTATGTTTTTTGTAATGTTGTAAATAAATTTTAATGGTGTGTGTGTGTGTGTGTTTTACTATCTAAAATGTCTTTATTAGAATACAGGTATTACAGCAATATGTTCGATAAAAATTCAAATAATTTTAGTTTCTCTGTATAGTTTACCTAAACGGGTTAACATGTTAAAATTAAATAAAAGTTTTAATATTTTATTTTGACCTATTTGTCTATATACTAAGGTTTTTTTAATGTTGTTTTGTAGGTGCTCTCCAAAATTTCAATTAGATAATTCAGATGTGGTTTGACTAATGTGTTCTATGTTGTACGGCGAACACGCTAAGGGAGGCATCGAATACAACCGTAAGTTGAACCCGGTAGTCACGACAAGGTTTTATTTATCACTTAGCCTTCGTTCTCTTCGGTTGCCTCGTATATTGTCAAATTGTCAATATTGGGAGGGGAATAACTAGAAACTATTTATTTGGGTTTAAATTTCATGTATGAGCATTCTCAGACGTATTTATTGTAAGAATTTTTTTGGTTTTGCTTGGGCTCGCGCGTTAACGCTATAACTTCACAGCTATCTCCCTCCGGCAATTTTCTTTATCAATTAAACTTTTATGTGTTTTGTATTTATTTTTATATAAAGATTTTTAATTTTTGATTTTTGATTTTTAATTCTATTGAAATATCTTCAAACAAATGCATTGTCAACTCGTAACGCACACCGCAGCGTCGCAACGAGAACGACGCCGCACATTGCGGGGTACCCGCTCCCCACTTCACCGCGCTTGCTTTTCGACGCTGACGCATACTGCGACGGAACAAGGGACTATTTTTTCATACTATTATGTGTTCGGCACCACATGTCACATACCGCAACGTTGTGCGTTACGATCAAGAGACCAAAGCTTAACGTCGCGTGCGTCGCGTGTTACGGTAAAACAAAAGCAGCAATGGTAATTGTAAATACGAAAAGTAATAAATGAAAGTTTACAAAGGTAAATATCATAGTATAGTATTCATCTCGATGTAAATTAGTTAAAACTATGTTAATATATAGATATTCAACTAGCCGATGAAATGTTATGCTTTTTTTAGTTGAATTTCGCGTCCTTGATGAGTTTTTACAACTGATTATGCTGCAGTTCACCATTATAATAACTTAAATTCACGTACGACGTTCACCGCGCAACTAAATCACAAATGGTGAATGATAATCGTCAACACATTGTGACGGCCCAATATTATTATTAATAAAGTCATATAGGCATCAAATCATAAAAAAAAAAAAAAAAAAAACATTACATTAATAAGCATAAAGTAAATATAAATACATTTCAGACATTAGACCAATAACATAGTAAATTAAAGGCAAAATATTGTCTTTCATAATAAATAAATTTTCATAATAAATAATAGAAGGTCTCTATAATGAATTTGCATTACAATGGTGGGGTCATGGGTTGAAGTGCTATATATTAATGACTTATGAAAGTAAGGTCTGTGATACAAAAGCAATTACTATAGAAGATATCTATGATGAATTTGCATTAAATTGTAGGGTCGTGGATTCAAGTCCTATATATTAATGACTTATGAAAGGTAAGGTCTATGATACAAAAGCAATACCATAGAATGTCTCTATGATGAATTTGCATTACAATAGTAGAATCGTGGGTTGAAGTCCTATATATTAATGACTTATGAAAGTAATATCTATGACACAAAAGCATTATTATAGAAGGCCTCCTTGATGCATAAGCATTATATGGGGTGGTCGGGTGACCGACTGCTCTTAGTACTGTAGCAAAATGACTAGTCCTTATTAGGGACTTAAAAAGGATTATTATGTTGGCGTGAATGCTGCTTCACGAGCAATAGCTCCGAGGTAAACTTGGACTCGCTAACCGATGTGTCCTAGACATATCATCTTAGTGCCGGTGGTAAGCGGGTTTGTTGTAGCAATACGGCTTTCCCGTGGATATCGCACATTCATAGCGTTCGTGGGCGGCGTCGTAGCACATAGCGATGCGTCGTCTATCTTTCGGATTGGGATGAGTGTGTTTGGTAGCACTTTTAAGTGTAACCAGCATACTGAACTACATGTCTTGGTGCATTAGCGCTATGATACATGGAGTTTTATCCACTGGCTTCTTAGTAGCGTGCTACTATGATGCGTTGGTACAGTTTTTAGTTAACAACATATTAGTGCCGGTAGTAAGCGGGTTTGTTTTAGCAATTCGGCTTTCGTGTGGACATCGTACACCCATACCGTTTGTGGGCGGCGTCGTAGCGCATAGCGATGCGTCGTCTATCTTTCGAATCGGGGTGAGTGTGTTTGGTAGCACTTTTAAGTGTAACAGGCATACTCAACTTCATGTCTTAGTGCATTAGCGCTATGATACGTGGAGTTTTGTTCACTGGCGTATTAGTAGCGTGCTACTATGATACGTTGGTGACATTTTTAGTTAACAACAATACAAAAGGTATAATGAAATTAGTTAACATGTTTAATGCTAGCTTAAGACTTGAACATTTTCCTGGGCAATGGAAAATTGCACATATAGTCATGGTGCCAAAACCCGGTAAACCCCCACACGAAGCCACTTCATACAGACCTATCAGCCTGCTACCAGTTATTGGCAAACTGTTTGAGAGGATATTGCTTAACAGAATGAAAGAACAACTAAGTACAGTATTACCGAACCACCAATTTGGATTCCGGGAAAAACACGGGACAATTAAACAGGTACATCGTATAGTTGACACCATCAGCAGATGTCTCGAAAACAAATTATATCGCTCTGCAGTCTTTTTGGATGTTGGACAAGCGTTTGATAAGGTATGGCATGACGGCCTCCTGTTCAAGCTAAAGAAGCATCTCCCACATTGTCTATTCCTAATATTGAAATCCTACTTAGATAAAAGATGCTACCAAGTGAAGTACGGCGATGATCTCTCAGAAGTACACGAATTAAAATCAGATGTCCCTCAGGGCATTATATTGGGCCCTATACTATACCTAATTTTACGGCAGATATCCCAAAAACTGACTACACCACGACTGCGACATACGCTGATGATACGGCGCTTCTGTCGGCTCATAGCAACCCAGAAACGGCATCATCACAGCTGCAAAACCACCTGATAGAAGTTGAGAGGTGGCTGAACCATTGGAGAATAAAAGCCAATGAGAGCAAATCGGTACATGTAACGTTTACTCTTAGGAGAGAAACATGTCCACCGGTAACGCTAAACTGCAAAGTTATCCCTCAAGAAAATAACGCAAAATACTTGGGCATGTACCTAGACAGGAAACTTACATGGCAAAAACACATTTGGACAAAGCGCAAACGACTAGATGGAAAACTGCGGACACTGAACTGGTTACTGGGACGCAAATCACAACTAAATCCTAACAGCAAGATGCTAGTGTACAAAACCACCATAAAACCAATCTGGACTTACGGGATACAACTGTGGGGAACGTCCAGCAATAGTAATATAGATATCTTGGAGAGATTCCAGACCAAAGCTCTGAGAACAATGTTTGGCATCCCTCGTAGTATAAGTAATAGATACATATACCTCGAGCTCGGCCTAAAAACAGTTCGACAGGAAGTAGCTCAAAACAGCCTGAAATACCAGGAGAAGCTGACCGCCCATGTAAACAAACTGGCACACGCTCTGAGCGGAGAAGGCGCTCTTCAGCATACCCGGCTAAAAAGCCTACATAAAAGATTTACCACCTGACATCAAGAGAGTCGTGTGAAAAGTTTCATACAAGTATGACTCTTGAGGAAAACATAAACTGAGAAATCAGACAAACTAGTGGCTTATTGCTGGAAAGCAGATTGCCATAAAGCAGAAACATCAAAAAAAAAAACAACAATACAAACTTGGTTACCACAGTCGATAGAGATCATGTGCGTGTATTGTGAGGGGGCTCCATCCATATGATAGTTGCATTGATGCTTACTGCTTCTTGCGCTATTGCATGTTGTGATGGATCTGCGGGTGTGCTGCGCCTGATTCGAAGCACTCTTGTGGTTCTGGTCGATGGAGGTATGCGGGTGCTGATGTCTGCTGGGATTTATGGAGGATCTTGGGATGATGTAAGCCCGAAGATAGTCGTATTGATGCTTGTTGCGTTCTGCAGCCTTGCGTTTCTGCGATGGTTGTTTGGTGGGACGCTATTCTCAATGGCACTCTCTGCGCCTTGGTTTGACTCACACCTAAGTAGTTTTGCCCAAGTCGGGTCCCTTCATTACGAGGCTGCAGACTGTCTTAGCTCCATGATGTTTTATATAACAACATAATAGTATATCTCGGTAAATTTCCGACCTTTGAAAGATTGAAGGCAACTTGTTGGTGGGTGAGGCAAACCACCAACAAGTTGCCTTGCCCAATCGAAAATGCATTTACTACACGTCAGTCACACAAACCCTTTCTGATGGTGAATTATTACTCTTATCTTATACTTGCCTTTTGGCTATATCTGCCGTTGTATTTGTTAGTGGAGCATATGTGTCGACCTAATGCGGGTGGTAGCTGGCGGGAGGATCTGAGGACACTCTAAAGGCTGCGGCCGAAAGCCGCGCAACGTAGGACCCCATTCCCTTGAGGTGAGCGGTAGACTCGTGACGCGCTCTGCGGCTAGTAGCCGTGCTGATCATGCAATCGGTGGTGATGCCATACACTTACATCACGTCTGCAGAAACGGCGGTCTGTCAGGTGGTGGCGCTCACGAAGGGTTTTCGGCCAGTGTGTCTATTTGCCTAAACCGTGAGACGTACATTCACTGTGGCTGGATTTGTCCGTATTCTGTATGGCGTTTATACGCATTGACATGCGCGACTTCGGTCGATGTATATGCTTACGCACTAACAAGCGGCCAAGCCTTTTTTACTGGTTAGCCAGTTATTTTTCTGTGGACTACGGTCCAGTTGCCGTGTTGTCGTGTAGTGGCGGTTGAGAATATCCACTACCCCATATCTTCCCGTGGGTGTTGTAAGAGGCGACAGAGGGAGACAGGCAGGAGATGGGCAGCAGCATCTTCCTGATAGCAACTGTGTTATAATAAAAAACTGCGGTTGCCAACCCGCTCGCCAAGCGTGGCAACTATGGCAAATATCCCCCCATCAATAATGACGCAAAAAAAACGGCCCCCAGTCCCCGGCGGCCCCGCTATTCCTGGATACGGTGGCGACCATGGTAACGGCGGGGCAGGGGTGCTAAGAATCTCCGGTGGAGGTTCGGTTGCCACCTACGACGACTCGACCTGGCAACATATAACGCACGCACCCTGAGGACTGACGAGAAGATACTGGAGCTGGAAGAAGAGGTAGATAAGTTGCGCTGGCATATTATTGGATTATCCGAGGTCCGAAGAGAGGGGGAGGATACGGCAATCCTCGAGTCCGGCAACTTGTACTACCACCGGGAGGGCGACCATATGTCCCAAGGAGGTGTCGGATTTATCGTCCACAAGTCTCTCGTCAACAACGTTGTAAAGATTGGGAGTGTGTCGACGAGGGTCGCGTACCTGATACTCAGAATCACCAAACGGTATTCGCTGAAGGTCATACAGGTTTACGCACCAACCTCGGCACATCCCGATGAGGAGGTTGAGGAAATGTATGAGGATATTTCCAGAGACATGCATTCCTCCAAAACCCACTACACGGTGTTGATAGGAGACTTCAACGCAAAACTGGGCACAAGAGAAAGCGGTGAGCCGAAGGTGGGGAAATTTGGAGTAGGGCAACGGAACCGAAGGGGCCAGCAGCTGGCCGACTTTATGGAGAAAGAGGGACTCTTTATGATGAACTCCTTCTTCCAGAAGCGGCCCCATAGAAAGTGGACCTGGTCGAGCCCCGACGGTTCGACAAAAAATGAGATTGACTTCATTATGACGACCAGACGCCAACTGTTCAGTGATGTCTCAGTGATCGCAAGGGTGAAAACTGGCAGCGATTACCGAATGGTTAGAGGCACACTAAATCTAAAAGTTAAGTTGGAGAGGTCTCGTCTAATGAAGTCAACGCTCCGTCCCCCTCGTGCTCTAATCCAGAATCCCGAAACCTTTCAGCTCGAGTTACAAAACCGCTTTCAGTGCCTAGAGGATTGCAATGCAGTGGACGATATGAATGACAAGCTCGCGGAAACCCAAGCGGTCGTAGCTAAGTTCTGCAAGACCCGCCGCAAAAGAACACAAAAACTCTCCAATCACACTCTTAATCTCATGGCTGTTAGACGGGAGATGAGGCTGCAATCGTCAACAGATTTGACAGCATACAGGCAGCTAAACAGACAGATCTCCAAATGCATGCGTCGAGACTTACGCAACTTTAATACTGCTCGTATTAAAGAAGCGATCGAGCGGAACCAAGGCTCCAAAGTCTTTGCCAGAGATCTGTCTGCCCGTAAGAGCCAACTGTCAAGGCTGAAGACTGAGTGTGGCAGCATCGTTTCCGGGACACCTGAGATACTGAGTGAGATTGAGAGGTTCTATGGGCAGCTGTACACATCATCGTTGGAGCCAAACGCAAGTGTGAGTAACGATCCAAGAGCAAGTCTTATCCGACACTATTCCGATGATATCCCGGACGTCAGTCTGAGCGAGATTAGAATGGCTCTCCACCATCTTAAAAACGGCAAGGTCCCGGGCGAGGATGGAATTACAGCGGAGCTTCTGAAAGCGGGTGGAACACCGGTACTTGAAGTCCTTCAGAAGCTCTTCAATTCCGTCCTCCATGGTGGCATTACTCCGGAGGCGTGGAGCAGAAGCGCGGTGGTCTTGTTCTTTAAGAAAGGCGACAAGGCTCTCTTGAAGAACTACAGACCGATTTCTCTTCTGAGCCGCGTCTACGTGCTGTTTTCGAGAGTCATTACGAATCGTCTCGCACGCAGACTCGACGACTTCCAGCCTCCCGAACAAGCCGGTTTCCGAAAAGGCTTCAGTACCATAGACCACATACATACCCTTCGGCAAATTGTACAGAAGTCCGAAGAGTACAATCTGCCACTTTGCCTGGCGTATGTGGACTATGAGAAAGCCTTTGATTCCGTCGAAATTTGGGCGGTGCTACAGTCTCTTCAGCGGTGCCTAGTTGACTGTCGGTATATTGAAGTGCTGAAGTATTTGTACAGTAGGGCTACGATGGCTATCCGAGTACAGAACCAGAGTACGAAACCTATCCAACTGCAGAGAGGTGTAAGACAGGGTGATGTTATATCCCCGAAACTCTTCACCGCTGCGTTGGAAGACGTTTTCAAGCTACTGGACTGGAAAGGATACGGTATTAACATCAATGGCGAGTACATCACTCACCTTCGATTTGCCGACGATATAGTCCTTATGGCAGAATCGCTGGAGGACCTCAGCACTATGCTCAATGACCTCATTGGTGTCTCCCAACGGATAGGTCTTAAGATGAACATGGACAAAACAAAGATCATGTTTAATGTCCATGTCACACCTATGCCGGTAATTGTTGGGAGCACTATGCTCGAAGTTATTGACGAGTACGTTTATCTGGGAAAATAGTCCGACTAGGTAAGTCCAACTTCGACCGAGAGGCCAATCGACGGATTCAACTCGGCTGGGCAGCGTTCGGGAAATTACGACACATCTTCTCATCAGGTATACCTCAATCTCTGAAAACTAAAGTGTACAACCAGTGCGTGTTGCCAGTGATGACTTACGGATCTGAGACGTGGTCCTTCACCGCTGGCCGTATGAGGACGCTCAAGGTCGCTCAGCGAGCTATGGAGAGGGCTATGCTCGGAGTTTCACTGCGTGATAGACTCAGAAATGAGGATATCCGCAGTGAATCCAGAGTGACCGACATAGCCCAACGGATTAGTAAGCTGAAGTGGCAATGGGCCGGCCATATAGCTCGAAGAACCGATAACCGATGGGGAAGAAAGGTTCTCGAGTGGCAGCCTCGTACCAGTAAGCGTAGTTTAGGGCGACCCCCCACTAGATGGAGTGACGACCTGGTAAGACATGCAGGAAGTCGATGGATGCAGGTGGCTCAGGACCGTGCTTTGTGGCATTACTTGGGGGAGGCCTATGTTCAGCAGTGGACTTGTGAAGGGCTGTAATTATGATGACGGTCCCGTTCCCGAATTAGCGTTCCCTGCGGGGGGAGAGTATCAAAACTGTTGGCGCTTACCGCGCACGGCGTGTGTGGAGCCATGTGCCTCCCCTACATTTTTTTAAATAAATGTAGGAGAGCGAAGCCCTTGTATCGGGTATTTTGTATAAATATATTGTGAGCCTTTTCCAAGGGGGAAGGGAAAAATAATAATAAATTAATAATGAAAATCTGATACAAGTGGAATAGGAACGTTTTATGTTCTTAACCTTTCTCGAGCCCTGTCTTCGTAAACGGGGTTCACTTAGCTTATAAGGCACTACCAACAGCTTTCAACTGCTCTAGTGAATATTCATTCTTCCAAAATACACCCAAAAAACTAAGTTACTAAACAAACACAACGTAATTAAGGCTCCTAACTAAGACGATCACGCCAAAATATTACAAACGGCCTATTCTTAAGCCTTTTGAAAGATCATATAGAAAGATCATAACATTTGTTATTTATCCTGGTCACAAATATATAATTTTATTGAATAGGGGTAAATTAATTATATATAATATCTTTAATATTTAATATATTTATTATTATGAGGGGGCGGAAGCTTTACAACATCATAGCAGCGACAAGGTCACGCATCTATGCGACTT